GAGTTGATGTGAGTATTTTTATGAGAATGGACACAATCAAGTATCGAGCTTTCATTAAATATTTGTTTTTGAAAGGCAATACGCCTGCGCAAAACAAAGATGAGTTGAATTCTGTGTAAGGGGACTCTGTACTATCATTTACCACAGAAAAATTTTGGGTGGCTGAATTCAAAAGTGGCCGTAAGAGCTTGGGAGACGATTAACGATCGGGATGTCAAAATCAACTGCCGACGAAAACATCGTCAAAGTTCACCAAATAGTGGTAGACGATCGCCGAATTAAAGTGAGAGAGATAGCAGAGGTTATGAATACGTCAGAAGAACGTGTTTTTCACATATTGAATCAACATTTAGGCACGAGAAAGCTGTCCGCGCGTTGGGTGCCGCGTTTGCTCATGTTAGACAAAAAACGTGTTCAAATGAACATTTCGAATGCTCTGTTGGCGCAGTTCAAGCGCAACAATGGTATTAAGCAATGAAGAGTAAAATTTTTTTTTTTTGTGCAAAGTTATTTTTATTTTTTGTTAACACCGAAAAGTACTCAAAATTATACAGTATTGTAACGAGAACTTAATATTTAATAACATCAAATCACAAAACATCAAAATAAAATAGTTATTTCGAAACAAACTCGTTGATTTTCTGGAGATTTTCTTGTCCGGAATAATTCTCCAAAATATCAATGAGTTCGAAATTTATTTTTCTCTTTAAAAAAATTTACCGAGGTTAACACCACATTTGTATAATTCGTAATATTACAGGCTTTTGAAATAAACCGTTGTTTACAGGAGGCTGCTCATTTATCGTTTTAGAATTTTTTTTCGTAGTTCTCATTTAAAAAAATGGGTAAAAAAATAAAACTTCACTCAGATGGCCATGACTTCAAATCTAGATGTATGTTTCGATGCTGAACAACTTTTCCCGAGATTTTTCAAAATAAGAGTACTATACTCTTGTCTCAAAATCAAATATTTGAAGGCTCCTCGTATATTACGTGTGTTTTACTGTATTTTATTAGTGCATGTTTACTTTTAGGGAATGTACAAACTTTCATCAAGAATAACTTTATGTCGAAAATCGCTGTATACGCCCAAAACAAAAATATAGTCCAAACAGCGGACTGCAAAGTGGAAACGGCTCCAGAAAAAGGAAAAACCGTTTTTGAAATAGTTTAGAAGTTTGTTTAATCGATTATTTTCAAAAAGGAAAAACCATTATAGGGGCATACCATTACTAGATAAGGCAGACCTTGCGGAGAAACATTTGCAGAAAAAGAAAATTCTGATACATCAAGAAAACGCACCGTCTCGCACTTCAGCGGTTGCCTTAGTGAAAATCTACGAATTACAGTTTAAACTGCTTGACCATTCACCTTACTCACCAGATCTAGCCCCAAGCGACTTATTTTTGTTCCCTCATCTAAAAATTGCGCTCGGAGGACAGATATGTTCGTCAAATAAAGAGGCTATAACCTTTGTGAACAATTATTCTGCAGAGAAAACTATTATTTTGCGATAATTCTAGAATTAATCGACGCCCGCCCACATTATCGACAGCTATCCAATAACTTAAAATGTGAAAGATATATTATTTCGATGGTTTATTTCTGTAACCTTTCGGTGTAATCAAGTCGGTTTTTTATCACATCTAATAATAAAACGAGATTTAGCGCATGTACAGCATAGATAAATATTTACAGAATGCCGAACTAGTTCAGACCTCAATATATTTGTATATAGGTAAAAATAGGTACTATCCATATGATGAGAACTAGAAAACCAGGATTTTCAAACATCTGCTTTAAAGTGTCGGGTTTATCATGTTTCGTATGCAAGAAAATTTGAGGTGGTTATCTGGCAATTTGTAATAATCTGATGATGTCAACTTGATGGGCAAACGTGCGACAACATTTCATTATTCTGATGTGTGCAATAAAATAAAATATTGAACGAAAAATCAATATCCAATAGTTAAATCAGCGAGAATCTTACCAGATAATAAAATATCCAACGAAAGTTGGAGTAACTAGTAAATTTTCTATTCAAGGTTTAGCATATATTTCTTCTGTGAAGAACCTTGGTTTTTTCTATGAACAATTTCAATTTATAGACCACGTGAACCATATTGCGATAATGGGGATTCATTATTCTACATGGCAAGCAACTATTTTTCGAGTCTTAAGGATAGTTTACATGGTTCAAATGTCTCAATATTAGGGTTCAATAATATGATCTCCATTTTAAAACAATTGCAAGGTTGCTGTTGAAAGAGTACAAAATAAATTCTCAAGAATTTTCATTATATGATGGATAAACCTATTTTTTTACCAACACCTTAGAAATCCTTATTTTATACTTATTTCAAGAACTTACTTTTAGTCTCTTTTAGACTAATTTTATACTCTACTGCCTATTTTTTTGCACTTCATTCATTTCAAATTGAAATTTCCAAGTGATTCTGCGACTTCAACATGGGTAGTTTGGAACAAGGCTATTTTTAACTTAACATCAATTGTAATAAATTATATAATCGGGGTTCAGTTAGACATTGAATCTGCAGAACCCAGTCGTTGAGAGAATTGTTATCAGACGTAGGTCACAATTCAGGCTTTTGTTTCTTTAGTCTGACCATCATAATCCTCAAAATTATAGTCTACTCAAATCGTGAACGAGTATTGATGGAATTCGATTAACTCAAAGTCAAGTACATAAATTCAGGGACACTCTTCTTGAATACCTAAGTTCAATTTTATTGAACATTTATTGAAATTATTTGTAGGTATTCACGAGAAGATTCAATGTTTAAAATAATTGAAGTATATGTGTAGAAGTACTATTTTAAAGTGCTTTCACGTATTTTCAAGCGTATTTTCTGTTTTGAAGGCTTCCACTAAGCATCACAAATACTTTTAGAATGATTAATGAAAGTTAGTAGAGACTGAATAGGTAACTTTATTTTATTCAATCCAACCTTAGCTGAAAATGAAGTTTGAAAAAATTCAAGGTTTCCAGTTCTAACATTATATATAGGTATACTTACTTGCAGCTAAAAATAATGAATACCGAAGTGTCAAATAGTATATTCCCTCTAAACAAATATTGTAAATGAAAAAGTTTAACTACAGAGAAGTAATAATTGGTGGATCAGCGAAATATCTACAATATATAATATTTTTTATTGAAGACTATAGTTATACTAAGTAGGAAATAACGGATTATATAACTTGGTATTTTTACATCAATTAATATTTTCCTTCATCAATATGAAAAAAATCATTTTGATTTCAGTTTCATATTTCTTTGGAGATTCTTTTTTTTCAAGTGTTTCATAAACAAAAAATGATGATAAACCACCAATATCCCTAATATATAAATAAGGAGAAATTAGATACATTAGGCGAGTTTAGAACCATATGGCCCTTCGATAAATCGATAACTTTGATTTGTTGCGTTGTGCGTAGTTAATTTTTATCTGGGTACCTTTGGTCTTTGGTAATACACAGGCGTAAATGACGCCACCGAGGCAAAATCCTCAATTACCTACAATGCAGATTAGATATACTTAGCTGCATATTTGAGTTTTCGAGTAATTAACAGCTTCAGTCGAGATATTAATTATGGATAATTCGGAACGGACTCACTGTGGTTGTGTATCCGGATGGAAGCGGTCCGAAACGAGCCTAAAAAATTCACAGGACACCAAAACAGAATTATCGCCAGACAAAAGATATCCTGCAAGCCTGAAAATAAAACGACTTATCCAATGGTGTATTTACCGTTTGAAATGTTCTCGTATTCGATCTTCTCGTATGTTATCGGGTAAATTTCCTACCCACAAGTGTCTAGTCTCTCTGACCATTGTGCCCTAAACACCACATTGAGGAATTTTTGTTTTTTGGCGCACAAACACTATTTCACAAAAAAACACAGCCGTTTCAACTTCATGTTGGCGCACTCGGAGACGACGGGACCTCGTTTCGTACACTACACCACTTCACATAGCGACACTCACTCGTCGTAGAGCACATATAATATTACTTTTTTCATTTGTATCATCACTTGTATTTTTTTTACACTATTACACTGTGCGAGCTCAATTCACTTCATTTTCGCTCCACACAACACACTGGGAGCTCGGCTTCGAAATGTATTGCTCCGCCTTGTGCCTAAACGCGGACTTAGTTACGACATGCTCCCATCCTCACGATCACAACAGAGAAAACCACTATAGTATGTCGTCACGCGATCGGACGATTTCGTGTAGCGCGCTATAGCCTTCCTTTATGTTTTCTCTCCCTCTACTGGACTTTTCGGTCGCTTGCGACGCGCTACTACTCTACCTACAAAATTCTTTCTATTTTTATATTTATTACGATATATTGTTTGTTTCTCCAAAACGCCATGCTGAAAAATAATATCAATCTACAACAGACGTTTATTTCAAATGATATTGGTGTGAAACAATCAAGTATTTTACACAAATCAGAAATATGGTCAGAAGCTTAAGGAAATAACAATATTTTGGGCAGGGCGGAATAGATAGGCAGGTACCTACGTCAGTAACTGGTTATTGAATGAAGGATATCTTATTGTTAATATTGAAGAATTAACAATTCTTTCAAACTATCGGAAAACATTAAATCCGGCGGATTATATTTCAGATTTCTGTTTTAGTTAGGTGTAAATCGCCTACCTACTCGTGCCTCATGTTACATTATTTCAAATAATTTGTTTATCGTTGTTTTTTTTATTTTCTCATCCAAAATAGCCTTCAATGATAATACCTATTAGTGGTAAAATATAAAATACTGAAATAACACGTCGACTTCGAATCGTACGAAACCTTTTTAGAACGCGTAGTAGGCTGTTTTAATTGAGGTTCGGCCGAGTCTACTTTCTCGTAGGGTGGGTAAGGTAGAGCTGTTCAACAACTACACAACGGTATAATACAAAATTCAGTGCATTCTGGTACAATGGTTATTCTTTCCGAATGTTGTATCCTTATCCTTACAATTCTATTGTATCAGAAGCTATGAGATGTTCTCGTAACGAACAAGTGCGATTGTTTTTAAGTTCCTGAGATTTCACATTTTGTTAATATCGGAGGTGTTTTGAAATTTTTTATCGTAGGAATTTTACAATTGTTTGATTTTCAAACAATGTAAGTGGTAGGGTCGAATATTGACGATCGAGAATGATGCGAATATGAACTGATTTTTTAGGTTTCCTATTTTATAGATGTAGATAGATAGGTTCAGTAGATAGTAAGGTACGAAGGTAAGAATGACTTGATTTTTCTAAACCTATTTTATAAAATATCAGATCTGTGTTCCTTTTCTAATGTCGGATCATTATTTGAAGAAAAATAATGTTCTTGGAGTTTTTACTGTCGTAGGCTAAATATAGAAGGAAATCGGATATTTCACAATTTTATTAAATCGTCTCTTTAGTCAGGTAGGTATATACCTATAAAAATATTCTGAAAAATCCAAACTGATTTATTACGTAGGTACTTATCTACCAAAATTATCGTTTTTCTAGTTATTCGGTTCCATATCTGCAAACATTTTTTTATACTTTGATAGGTATTTCAAGTGGTAAAAAATTAAAAAATGTGTGCTGTTGAAAACGTAGGAACATACATGAGAAAGCCGACACAAAATGGCCGACGTCACTGATTACGTGAAACTTTTCCTTCATTATAGATTGTAGGTGGATATTGGAAATGTTCTTATTTTAATTAGGTATATTAATTTTCACTTGAACTGACAACTTGTAGGTGTGAAATAATTGCGAGACGAGGTTGCCCTCTAAATCACTTACTATTGACGTGAATTGACGACTAGGTAATACCAAATTTTCTGCGTTATACCTATGAAATAAAAAAAAACAAGTTCAAGTTGAAAATTAGCATAAGTTGTGCTAACAAAGAATACGAGTTATGAATATGAATATTATATTGCGAATGGCAGAAGCAAGAAGCAAAAGTAAAGTCGGAATTCCGAATCTCTAGTATGTACTGTGCAAGCTGTTGATTCGTCTGTTCATTCGGCAGGCATCGTGTATAAGATGTCGGATCCGAAGCTACCTTCTACGCAGTGTTGCCGTATGCAAACCATAGTTACGGAAATGTTTCTGAAAAAAAAATTGTCACATGGCATTTGGATGTGTGAAGTTCTTGGAAAACTAAAACTTTCTAGGGTGTTTTCAGGAACTACTGCTATATAGTGGTAATAATCACATAGGTTTTGTGAACTGATAGTGGTTTGAAGTAACTTCTACAACCGAACATACAGTTGTATAGATTTGGGAAAAAATATGACATTCATTCCTACTGTAATCGCAGTAACAAAATTATGAATATATTGAGAAAAAAAAATCAGTAGAAACATACTTGCATAAGCATAAATTATTATTTTCTGTTTTCGGGATATTTTAAAAAGGAAAATTTGATATGCTTCTCTCAATTCCTACACTTTATTAAGTTTTATAAAACCTAGGATACATTTTTCATGTACCTACTCTTGAGAATAACAAAATAATTTTCTCATCAATAATTATGTTTTCTCCGTTTTGCTCAATTCCTGAACCACTGAAGTTATCAAAAAGTGGGGACTAGCAACCCTTTTTGTTGATTTTTAGGAAAAGCAGTATTAAATTCTTTTTATATGTTGTTCGGGAAATTTGTAAAAATTTTGTAATACAGTTTTACCGGGAAAGAAAGGTTTTTCTCTTTCTACTTCTCTATCTCTATACAAAAAAATTTGGGAATTTTACCCAAAGAAAGGGAGAAAGCAATTGATTTCAAAATTCACTCTACAAAGATCCATAGATCATGCAAAGAAGTAACTTTCAGGCACAAACTGGAAGTAAAAGCCCTCTCGAAACTATTCATTTCATATAAACATTGAATCTCACGAAAGAAAAAATACTTTCGGAACAATTACTAATATGATATACAAAAGAGATAAAATTTCACTTATTCGAAGCACTATGATCGTCATTGACGAACATTCGATATTTCGGAATAAGACACTCGCCTATTGCCTCATTTATTTAATCCCATTTTATCATTTTGATAATTTTAAAACTCTGAATAGTTATTTGGAAGTTAATTGATCTATGAAAACTGGAAGGATATGACAACGCTGCCAAAAATTCTCCATGGAGATGAGAAATGGCGTCGATTAACTATTTCCTTGATGCGCAGTGGCGGTAGCGCAGTGCAAACTAGAGTGCCGACGTGGCAAATAGAACAAGACAAAACGTTTCCTTCATCCATAATTTTCAAACTAGCGCCACCATATATTCAATATTTTGTCTGCAACAAACTTCTTTTCATCATTATACGGAAATGGCAAGTGCAAAATTAGTTTGGTTACTGGTCGAAAGATGTCGGTACCGATATGCATATATTGTTAAATATTTTTGCTGAGTGTTTACAATTTTTTTATTTTTACTTCCATCACAATGATGAACAGAAATTATTGTGTTTCATGTATATTGTAACCATTGTCTGATTAGACAATGTAACTATTTCTTGCCGAGTTGTGACATCTTACGGTAAACTATTGCATTCTACTAAAATGTTTGTGTAACTGTAAAGCAGATGGCAGGTGGTCATTTAAAAAAAATGGGATTCATATTGGCAACAGAAGATATCTCTTTATGTCAAAATTCCAAAACTAAAAGTAATTTTCCGAAGTTTCAATCAAAACCCATCCACATCCAAGTGAGGATCATAAGATTTATGGAAATCAACCTGATGATCAATTTCTAGATTCATAGCACTAGAAGAAAAATGAATGAACACTGTATAGGTACTCATTGTGAAATAATACAAATTGAATCAATCCCACAGTACAATTTTGTTATATGAATGAAAAAGGTATATATACAAAAAACAATATATATGCTACCTGTTTCTGATTTCAAAGAATATATTGCTTATTCATACAAAAGCGAATCTCTAGCAGAAAGTCCTCTGAAAAAAGGCCCGAAAAACAGGCAATGTTGAACAATAATCCTCGTTGATGGCATTGAAAAGTAATTTGTGATGAGACAGATTCTAACCTTCATTATTGTAAAAGGTGCAATACCCCACACTCACCTATTGTTTAATCTCTGAAGAAACGAAACGTACACACCTCACTGATTTGGTAGACACAATCAATGTTTTGAAGAAAGTCGTAGTAACTACTTTTGGGCTGTAAACAATCCAAGTTATGTCGCAAATAGTTCTCTAAGGAGTTATGCTATTTGACAAAAAACTGACTTGAAACAATTAGCAACATTCTCTATGATGCAACAGACAACCTGAATATGATGAATAGTACATATAATAGTATAATATGCACCTAGGCGTGGATGCTTTTCACCCATGATGTGAGTAACGTACGTTATCATATGTATGCTATCGAAAAAATAGATCAAAGAATTTGCGTCAAATGTTCTGTTAAAAATTGAATAAAGTACCCAAAAACAGTTGAGATGTTGACAGTGTCATACGATGATTGTACTCTTGAGTCAGAAAAATAAGTACAAGAGGTACAAGTTTTTCACAGAAGGTTGAGAAGGTGTAAATGACGACGTTACCCCTGGACGCTCCAGATCATCAATAACCGATGAAAATGTTGAGAAAGCGAAGAATATTGTTATGGAGAATCGTTAAATCATCATTATGGAAGTTGCTGAGGATGTCAGGAAAATTTGGGCATTAAGCGTATGGCAGAGTAGTTTGTTCCAAAATTGCTGAATTTTGACCAAAAACGGCGATCCAGATTTGCTTAAAAGGGTCATAACTGATACTAATCATGGGTATATGATTATGACATAGCAACCAAAGTCCTATCGTCCCAAAGGAAGAGCCCATATGAAAGCAAAGACCAAAAAAACCACGCCAAGTTCAATCACATGTCAAGGCTTTGCTCACTGTTTTCTTCGATTACCATGGTGTAATGCATCAGAAGTTCTTGCCACATGGTCGTATAGGCATACGCTTAATAAGAATTAACACCTTGAAATTATGCACTGTTTATGACAAGCAAAACGAAGAATTAGTCCGGTATTGTGAAAAAACGATTCATGGCTTTTTCATCACAATAATGCATCTGCTCACTCGTCATTGCTTGTTTATATTTTTTTGGAAAAAACTACACTGTAAGCATGCCTCAGCCACCATATTCACCAGATTTCGCCCCCTGCAATTATATCCTGTTCCCAAGATTGAGGGACACATGAAAAAATGGCGTTTTGTGAAGATTGAGGAGATAAAAACTGAATCACTGAGAGCTCAGGGACATAACAAAAAGGGCATATCAGAACTGCTTTGAGGATTGGGAAAAACGCTGGCAGAAGCGTATTATGCCTAAGAGATATTTCTTTGAGAGGGATAAAATATAAATTGATGAATAAATGAATACTTTTGATAAAATGGAAATTCATCTTACTTTTTGAACAGACAGTTTATATTAAAAAACGTCATTTCCAAATATCTCTCAATTTGTTCCTTTCAATATCAAATACATTTTTGCTATTTCAGAACTACAAAATGAAACACACGTTGATATACATAAGTGTTTTATTAGATCTTGACGCAGCAAACAAATTGTCAGAGACAAATCGAGGTACATAAAAACAGTTACATAAGTTGTACAAAAGAACACTTAATCATTATAAGGTACTTAAACGATAATAAAGCATCTTTAGAACAAGAAAGAAAAGGGGTGATGTTAGTCTTCTTAAAACATCTAGAAAGTGTTGAAACCACATCGATTCAGAAAATATTCAAAGTTTTGCAAATCACTGAAAGGTTTTGCTGTAATTGATCCATTAATATTTTTAAACCAATCAATTTGCAATGCTATTTTGTTGATTCGTCCCCAGACAACACAAGGATATCAGATAGGATATCGAATAGACATTCAATTCATGTCCACATAATATCTTATGAACGTCCAAAATATGTCAACTTGGAAGGCTATAAGATATCACACACTTTTTTATATATTATGGATATTGACAGGATATCCATCAAACAATATTCATACCAAGTCCACTGGGGGATATCTTATGGATATCTATTTCATATCCAAGGATATTCCTACCAGAATTAGACATGAATTAGATATCTGTGAGTTTCACGACTTTGTCTGGGTTGATTTGATGAGGTTTTGTATCTAGAAGTGAAGGATCCTAGGGATAGACATAGTTTTGAAAAGTGAGAAAGTTTATGTACACCTACAAGATACATTCATACTAAACTTTAGTAATACATATTTCAGTTGTACAAACTTAAAAAATATTTGAACAAAGTAAAAATATCACAAAACAAAAAGAAATATTCGAGTTGAGAATTATGTGATGTGAAACTCTTTCAACAATTAATGTGGAGCGTGCAAACATCTATTTGACATTTTTCACATTGATCTAAACTATTTCATTATGGTTTTGAAAACGAAATTTAATCATTACCCAGGAAAGAATTGAACTGAAAAATAATTCTTAAAATGGAAACTGAAAAGCCTAAAACTTTAAAACTACTACAAACATAAAGCTTTTAGCTAGATATTGTAAACTAGTTTACATTGGAGATCTGTCACCATTGGGACTGTAATCTTTCAACAATTCGCGCAACCTTGAAATTTCCTTTGTCGCAACTGCTAAATCGCCTTGGAGACACAATTCCTTTTCTCTTAGTCTTTTGATGTCTCGTTGACAACTCTGAAAAAAATGAATACTGTTAAAATGCATGTTGCTCAATATGTTTCTCAATTCAAGACGGTGTTTTGCACATGTTGATAGGTGGTGGTGCAAGAAATAAATTCGGCAGCAAAGTAGCGTTAATCACTGTAATAACCAACTTAGTGAATTTCAACTTGCAGGTGAGTACCAATCCTAGATGTGCAGATGGAAAGTGGAGAGATGACAGAGAGGTATAGACAAACAAGATTGTTATTTAAGTACAATATAATGCATACATTTTTGAACCTAAGAGATATCGGTAGTGATTGAGTTGAAGGTATCAAGTTAAAATTGAGCAAAAGCTATTTTCCGTGTTTTTTGGCCGAGGTCTGCGTGGTCAAAGACGATGAAGTAACAATAAAAGTGCTCAAGTTCTCAACGCAGAAAGTACAATATTGGAATTTGTCTCCAGTTATATATGATCATTGGTCGGCGTGGCTTCGTTTCTCTCGATTTGATTGTATGACCTTGTTTGTGTACAATTGACTACACTCTATGTTGAAATTACTAGAATTTAATGCAGGTAATAAAGTGTAATTGCTCGTTTTGAATTTTAATTTTGAAATGTTTCCAAGTTACATACTGAATCATATTATAACCAGGACTGTACAATTTCTAGTCTATGCTACAGTACTATCACTAACCAAGTCACTAGTATTTAAATCAGACACAACATTTCCATTTGATTTGATTATATCTTTCATAATTACTACATGACTTGGTTATTTACTCAGATACAACTCTTTGTTTGTAATGTGATTTCCATTACAGATAAAGACATTTTCGAAAAAGGTGTCTGCATATGACTCTACTTTTCCCAAACATGTTCTATTGGATACAAATCTGGGCAAACTGCACCTGCAAGTTAAAATTTGCTAAGCTGTATTTGAAATTGCCCACCAAATACCTAAACTTGTTAGTTATATTTTTCAGATAGGCATTCCATTTTACATGACTGTCAAGCATTTTACCGAGATATTTGACTATGTTGAAGTACTTCAACTGTATAACATTATTTTCCAGAGTAGTAAGTAGATGAGTTTCGTGAATGAAACTTTTTTTTCAGATTTGAAATTAATAGTTCACTACTGAAATATTCCATAAAGTGTATCTATGATTTTTTGTTTCAGGAATCTTCAGTTTCTATCTTCCAAAAAAAAGTGTAATCAGCAAAGCCTGTAACTTCTACAGACATAGGTGGGTCAAACAGGGAGTTAATGTAAAGAATAAACAAATTAGGACCCAAAACGAAAGTTCTCTCACTGCTCATTTCATTTCCTATTTTGACACACTGTTTTCTATTACTCAGATAGCTTCTCATCAGTTGATGTGGAATATCTCAATCTGGGTTCAAGGCAATGGTAACTTCTGGCTTACTGTTGATTTTTTCAATATCAGTGTGAAAAAAATTGATGGTCTGAATTTCGTGTAGCTGACATAGCTAATTGGCACTGATATACATATTTCAATTTATAAGCATAACATATGCTTGTGCTGTGATTATTTTGTTCCTCTAAATGACAATTAAAAACATATCCTGCACATTCAATTGAATTACCACTTCGTATTTACCATAAATCAAACACTCTGGATGCAAGGAAGCAAATATATCACCAAATAAATCAGTTGAAAATGTCGAGTATTAAAGTTCAATTTTCAAAAATAAAATTCCTAATAATAATTTTGAATTCACCGAGTTTTTTTATCATCTGAATATCGTGAGCTAGAATATTATACAGCTTTGGACAATAATAAAACAGAAACTTTTGAGTGTGCGTTTTTTTGAGAAATGAGATCCGCATAGATCTCATTTCCGTTCTTGGCTGTGCATGCTCAAATTTATGTTTATTAATAAAAATCCAGGTAAGGCAATGATAAGTATATAGTATATCGGACGTTGAGAAGCTCCAAATCTTTATATAGTTTTTCAGAAAGAAAGAAGAAAGAAAGACATGTATTTTGGGTTGTCTGAAGTCGATTTAGGGAATTATTGAACATGCTACCCCTTACTTCAATACAATAAGTTCTTATTGATTCAGCTAGAGAGTGATAGATGATCATGTGGTTTTTGTTTTCTAGGATGTTCCTCAAAGCATAAAACTGTCTAATAAACATTTATGAAAAATGAATTAGAGGTAAATAATATCAGATTATAAGATAATAGACTGAACTGTCAGTACACCAAAGATTCCGAATCCTTCACTACAATTTGAAGGAAACGTAAGTATGAAGAACTGTGATAAAATTGAATATTTATTAGCTATTGTTTTCCCCATTGAATATTTTATTAATACTAATGTGACGACGACTCATGATATTCCATCAACAGAAATGTAAATTGAAGAAGTGTTTTGTGTATAGTTTGAGCAAAGAAAATATTCAAAAACTCACCACATTCTGCCTCAACAAATCCAACTTGTCGCACTTCAACTGCACCACTTCCTGCATCAGGGTCTCTACACTAGGCCCCGCTGTGCTTACCGGTCTGTCCTGGCAAACACTGCAAGCTTTTGCCGCAGTCTCTGCGCTAGACATACTCTCCAGCCCTGTGTCGCTGTCAATGTACCCCCCTCCAAGGTGCTCTAGGTCTTCGCTAGTCAAGGAAGAATCGTCACTGGCTTCAGAGAGAGCTGGCCTGGCGTTTGCATGTGCCGTCAGGTCGGGAGAGGAGGTCATGGAGGAGTTGGGGCTTCCGCTCTTTTTGCTGTTGGATATCACCGAACTCTTGGATCTTCCACTCTGAAATTAGTTCATATTGAAAATATTTACTTGATGAATTCATGGATAGATTTTTTCCCTACTATCAGTGACCATAGTGCTGTATTAATAATTTAAAAAGTATTACTCCAGTTTCTAAGAAATGGTGAGCTCATTTTTGTATTTTTTACGCTAACTTTCCGAATATGACGCATTTTTGTAGGTTGTCATAGTTGTTGTACTAAAATGTGGAAAATTTGGTCTAGTACAAAAAAGTAACTAGTCAGCCTGATATCATCAAAGATCTGCTTACTAGAAATTTCAAGTGTCTCCTAATATTAGAGAATAATGAGTCAAAAATGCTACCTTCTTAGAATTGCTTCCAAATAAGTCCACAGAAGTATAAGAAAATAGTTACAAACGTTTTATAGAATTGTAAAAAATGCAGAACACGGTTGTTATAATTTCAAAACATATTGATTGCTTATTCAATTTATTCTATGTTAAAAGCAACAAAGAATGTTATCAAAAACAACGAAATAAAAAAAAATCTCATTGGTATAGACCCAAAAAATCAAACACATCAACGAATATCGATTCCTTAGCGAAGCACCTGACAAAGTTTTTGATGACCAAGTAAAATTTTCCAAGTAAAAACTTCGATTTTTGTAATTGATGTTTTGCCCAGAGTGCCATAGGCTAGTGTTATAGTCCAATATGACAGAGATAGCAATCGAAGTAAACCAGTGAAATAACTCTAGTAGTTGAGAGAGTGAAGTAATAATGAAGTACTGTTGTTCATAAGTTGTATATTCTTTATCATTGAATAAAGTTATAAATTTTAATTGTGTGCCACTTACTGACGAACTTATTATTTTATTGAAAACAACAATGCAGCTATGGCTACCTCCATGATGGCATTATGGCATTAGTAATAGCTTTGTAAACATACAGTTTTGTAACCGAAACGAAAAATATGCAGCTGACATAAGTCAAAGCAGCATCTTTCAGTATTTTAGCTACAGCATACTGCAAAACTTATTTGCTATCTGTGATATAACCTCAACCCAATTCGCAGTTGGTGTGATGGGTCTGGCATATTCCATCTCAATAATGAATGCCTGAAATTGTATATTCTCTAAAGGTCTTATGACAATTTTATTGTCATGGACACTACAAACTTGAAAGTGTAATGTGCATGCCCATTTCATGAGAGATTACTGGTGATAGTTATCTCTAGCATAGATGGAATACCAATACCAGATATATTTTCATGAGTGCAATGAACTCTGTCATAATACTGGATCCCCATTCACCAATCGTTACTAGTTCCTCATCTTCACTAGGTCCTCGCTGGATAGAATTTCATATGATCAGAAAGTAGGAAGTACAGTTAATGTCTGCAAATATACTTGTTGATAGCTGGGTAATTTCTGAAATGAGATTTTCAGTTGCTGCATTGTCTCACTGTATGTGTTCTGTTTAATTCATTCTTTGTTGTTAAGACTTGGTGCCCAATCAATCTGGTATGAATGTGTATTTAGGTCAGTCTTTGGTGAAGGTGTCAAGTCATCTGTTTCGTTACCAATTATTTATTTAATGTGCCTGTTTTCATGATTAACAATTGAAAAGTTACATCGAAACCATTTGGCTCATTGTTGGTTGCATAAATCTAGTTTTTCTCAAATCTTCAATCAATTACTTTATGACATCTATTTGTTTAAACTCACCGAAGGAGTAGACTCCGAAATGGTAGGCTGACTTCCCTTCTTGGACAGCCTATCATGCCCATTGGCATTCAAGTTGTTATCAACGCTTTGGCTGGCCTTCACCCTGGCGCTCCAGACTTTCTTCACGCTATCGATGAATCTCGACCCGGGTCCAGAATCGCTCTTCGGCGTACCCGGACCCAGATTGGCGTTGCCTCCCAAGAATTCAGTCGTCTTCTGCTTGAGTTGGTCGGTGAGGTTCTGTAAGAGAGAGGTACGAGTACGCAGACCCAGTTTGGCAAACTTGTCAGCTTTGTAGCAAGCGTTCTCCGCGTTGATGAGCTTCGTTAGCAGAAACTCCTTGAATTCGGCTCCGTGTCTGAAAATGGCGGGAGTGGGCAGAGTAGGTCCGAAGAAGGGAACGTCGTCGCGTGCTGTCACACTAACCTTGTACCTGAAAAAAAAGAAATAATATCAGTATGAATATGTCTCAGTTTTTGTATTTTCCGATTCAGCAGGACCTGTACGTGAACACATTCATATGACTGACGATTTTGCATTTCCAACAGTCACTATAACCAAATTTAAAAAGATAATTGTTGAAAAGACAAAATGAAAATGATTGAAAAGGTTCCTAATAAAGATAGTTACAATTTGAAGAAAATCAAAGCTACACAATGACATCAATTCATCAATTTGAACGTAAACACTACTAAACCAATTTCAAAGTCGCAGATCCTAGAGAGGAAATTATTGTCACCCGGTATGATCAATCTATACTAATATTATAAATGTTAGTTTGTGAGGATGGATAAATGTATGTATGTTTGTAGCTCTTTCACGCCAAAACGACTGAACGGATTTAGATGAAACTTTACATAAATACAGTTTATATATCAGAATGACTTATAGGCTACAACTTACAAAGGTTTCGTGTAATTTTGGTCATAATTCAACGATAAGTATCAAGTGAGTTTGAAAAATTCTTGCGTATACCATTGGAGTTACATGCAGATAATGTAGCGTAATATTTTTTATCTTAAATAGTTCTAAATAAAAGTCCGCGATAGCATATATCTACCTCTTATGTGGTAGTCACTATATGCAAAATACTGAGCCATAAATACAAATAAATTGGATACTTTTTTAATAATGCATATTCTTATAAAAACTGATACAATTGTAGTTTTAAATATTTAATATAGTTAAACTTTGTCTTTTACACTAAGTAATTTGGACGAATGATTTAAAAGTTATCACGATAAGATTAACTTGGCGCATCGCAGTAAGCCATTACGCGTCGCGTCTACTGTGAGACGACGGGGGACGATGCGCGTGGGTAGAGGGGAGGTCAAGCAATGAAGCGCCATCGCCAAGAACGCGGGCAGACGCGTGAGGGCAGACGTCGTTGACGGTTGTGTTAGTTTTGCGAATTTCTTTTTAGGTAACATAATTCAATTCTCGAAGCTATTCATTATTTAATGCAGTTGGAATATTTTTTTAGTTATTGTATTTTTAAAGTAAAAATATAAATAACTAGCTGTTACCCGCTCTTATATTAACTTACAGCCGAAGCTACTGAACCTAGAATCTTGAAATATGCAGGTAGGTTCTTTGTATAGCGTGAACAAGGATCACGAAAGGGAATTGGGAATTTCCACCCCAAGGAAAAAAAATAGGGGTTCAAAGATTGTATTGAATTTCGAAAGTTTTAAAGTTGGAAACCCGAAGATTTGGGTAAATGAAAATTTTGTAACTATTTATTTAAAATGGTTTGTGACGAAATTTGATGTGACAAACCAAATAATACGCGGGCAAGGCCACTGAATGAACTTTTCAAAAATCCCGCATCTGGTTGAGATGAGGATATATTCCGACGACAGTTGCAACTGTGAAGATACATACCTGGACGCCTTACTGCAATACCTCAACAGCATAGGAGCAATTACAAAATTTACTGCGGAAAAGGAAACCTGGACAGCATCAGGATATATATTTAAGAAAAAAAGTAGATGACAGTGTTAAACATAACATTAAATGATCCGAGGTAGACGTTGTTCACAAGGAGAAAAACTGATTCAAGATGAAGTTTAAGGAAACGTCGTATATATCATACATCACCACACTCACTCAACCAAATGGAAATCTGAAAAGTGGAACTAGAAAAAGCGTGAGATTCGGAATATGACAGCGTCATAAAAAGAGCCTGATAAGAAAAACTTTTTTATAAAAATAAGGATGGACAGGTGTTGATTGTCTATCATTTCGAAGATTACCTAATTGAAAGTAATTTAACCTCTGTTATTCATTAATTATTTACTGATTATACAACAATGCAGAGCTACCCTGGAGCCGCCACTAACCCACATGAAAAGTCTAGTGTTTTCAATTTTCTTAGTTGTACGCCTTCTCGGATACAAGAGGAACACGGAAAAAGTAATAAATCACCGCAAAGTGCAATTTGCAACGTAATAAACCGAAACATTTTTACCGTGGACGCTGGGGTTAGTAAGAGCTAGAATTATAATTTTATGGGCGTGCATAATTTAGAACGCCAACCGATTTCATCTAGTATGCGTCCGTTGGCGTAAATGGCGACGTAGTGGCTGCACGCCGAGCCGTCATCAGTTTTCCTTCCTATTGGCCTGTTTTCCACGGAAAAAGTTCGTTATTGATATTTGGTTGGGCAAATGAAACCCAATTGATTGAATGCCAGAAAAAATTGATGGCCCAATTTCCGATAAAGAAACTAATTTCAAGGAATAGACACGAACATCGGACATATAAATCATTTTTACTAATTCTTTGTTATTATTTCAAACTGAAAAATATCTGAATAAAGAGTTATACTCACAAAGTAATTAAGTATTCAGTACTATGCTTCATTTGATATTTATTGTACATACATCGAAAAAACACAAATTGATTTTTCTCATTCCCAAGCTGGCAACCCGACTAAAAAATAAAATAAAAGTAGCCGTAGATCCCTGTATTAGATTTTACTTGGATCTGTCAATTGCAATAACTACAGAAGATGTTCCAAAGTATCAACGAAATATAATAGATAATAAATTAATAAAAGTTCACAGATTATCTATCGAGTCAAGACGAGAAGAAACCCTGCCTGGTGATACACATTGTAAAAAAGGGAATTATAAAATAACCTATGCAATACAACCGTGTTACATGCTATTAGTTACTTTCAATAAATAATCTGTACATAACCCAATTTTCACCATTGTTTACAATTTATCCAGATATTGGGCGAGATCTAAAAGTTCTTCTTTGAGACCCTTTCGTTTACGTGTCTCCTGCACAGTATCTGGCAGGATCCAGATTCCATTGGATTACTTGGCAACGCCTCCCAATGATCGAACACAGACTGTGGGAAAGCTTGGCCAATATATTCTCAAATATAGTGTTGGAACGCAGATCGGCAGTGAAACCGAATGATTCGTTGACAGACAGGTATGCTTTAACCAAGAACATGGGGGTTCCGGCGATTCTTCAAATATGTGACCACGTCTTCTGTGCAATACTCCGTAGATTCCTTCGACAGCAATTACAGGACACATAATTTCACACTTGTAGATAGGTCCATCAACCTAGGAGAAACAGTCAACAGACAGATGCAAGCTGCAAGGTGACGTCATAAATGTTGAACCTAACGAAACGCAAATTCTCTTCAGACAACACACCTTCCTTGGTGGCCCATTGGAATACAGCGACAACCAAAATAATACTAGATCTGTGACATTTGAGTAAGATAGAGCATTGGCTTATAAAGTTTTTCATTGAAATCCTTTCCTTACAACTCTGGTGTCTCCAACAATACAAGTGGATAAATGGTGTCATGTGTACAATTGTAAAACAGTGATCAGTTTTATTTCTGTTCTGTACTTGTAGTACAGAACATCATCTTTGTGGAAGTATAAACAAAATAATTTGTTGATTGATTTACCGATAATTCTCCATTTCTTTGCAAGTTTCAGATCTTAGAGAAAGCTGTGCATGGACACTCGCTCACTGAATAATCCTTTTCGCATTGATGAACAGTTATCTTTTACATTTCTGTGAAAGAATATTCCAATAGATGGATGTTATAGCGAACATACTATCATTTGTGACTATGATTCCTTATGAAAATATTCCTAGTTACCTTAATTCTGACGTTCAAATTGTGACACTAGATGTCGCCCATCCATTTAAAAAAAATCTTCGTATATTGATTGAAATAACAACAATCCCTTTTTTTAAGCTGTGTTTTTTTTCTAGTTGACCTTTGCTTGCAAGGTACGGCATAAGCTAATTGAGAAAAATCTGAAATCGATAAGTGCATTATTGGAAGTTCCTTTAGCACGCAAAATCCGTTTAATAATGTAATGCGGGTCAGAAAATCCGCAGTTATAGTGCTTACATAATGAAGGATAGTCAGAGTGATTCAATAAGTAATTTGCGCAATTTTAAGGAGTTGATTTGTTATTCATTTCTTGATACAAATGAATTTATTTGTGAATTAATTAATGAAAATCCTTTCATACTCTCGAATTCTCTTAATAAGAGAAACTACTTCCTATCCAGTCGGATCGGTTACGAGTTACAAAAGAGTGTTTTTAATTTTAATTATTGCTCTGGAAGTATTGTTTTTTCAAAAGAAGAGCATAAACAGTTTTCGCGCGATCATAAAACTTGAAACCGTCCTGTCTCTTTTGTGTAATTTCACAACATGGTTTCTAAATGTAATTAAAATGAAGGAGTGCAAAATGGTTCGTTATCAAATATATACAGTTAGGGACGATTAACGAATGCACATGCTTTTATATAACATCCTTTTCTTCTACAATTGAAAAAGGAAGATAAAACAGTTGACGCTTGCGTTTAATCAGAGTGAACGAGCTCTTCTTTGGATGATACATACCTACCCCAGTACATCGAAGAGAGATGGCTGAACAAATGTATATCGTCGGCAATTTCTGTGATTTGTGAACATGACGTTTTTCATTCAAACGTTTCTAAGGGTTCACTTCTTTTATACTCCATCAAAGGTTGTCTTCGCACCTAATTAACTGTAGGCATTTATTATTTCAAAGTAAGTGAATTTCATGTCCTTATTATACATTCTAACCTCAATTGGAAATGGCCCTGTCTAATGTTCCGCATACTGGTAAATTTAAATTACCAGATATTGGAGTTGAATAATGATTTTCGCATAAAAATCGTAACACGGGGCTTACACAATTAGTGAATTTCAAAAATGGAAGCAATTGTTCATTAAACGGTTAGCTTGTTTGGCCATATCGTTTCGTTATAACCATTTTGTACCAGTTCGTGCACTAATGCTGAATGCATAAATTGGTGACGTGCATGCATCCGACGACTCGACTGTATTTGCTTGACAATGTATAAATCAATTGTTTTGAAGTATGCCTGAAACTAGAGTGCCTTTTATTATAAATGTACTTACTATTAAATGTGAAATGTCCGCAGTTTGTTTGTTTTGACTACAACAATTTTTTTAGTATAAAAGACTTAATACTGTATTCACAATTAACAACATTAAACTGTCAACGATGGTTAATTTGGACTTCGACTCACGTTTATATAGCTATCTCTCTTCGAGGTACCAAGAGTCCAAACAAGACCGATCTGAGTAAACGCAAACGTTAACTGTTTTTTCTCTGTTGTACACTTATAGTAGAAAAGGATGCTACATAAAAGTAAGTGTTTGATCGCGATTGATGACGCATATTATGTAGCTAATGATTTGTTGCTCTAAGAGTATAGCTGGGACAATGAAAGAATATACGTACGTCGCCAATTTGTACATCCGATATAAGATGGAATTGACCGATACTCGATGAAAATCCATAACTAACGCAAAAAACACTTCATTGTGACATTTTCACTAAACAGTTTTACAAAAACGTAACGCGTGTTTCGCCATACACTGACTTCTTCAGATGTGTCTTTACTCAAGAAGAAGCCATTGTATGGCGAAACACGTATTTCTTTTTTGTAAATCTGTTTAGTGAAAATCTCACAATAAAGTGTTTTTTGAACACGTTCATCCGATATAAGTCGACAAACTGATGAAAAGAAAACGATAACTATCCTATCTTGATATCTTGCTTATCTGCCCAAAAATAAGTTAACTGGAAACAGACACTTACCTAGTGTTCGGGGTGTTTGGATCGATGACTTGCACCGCGATGAAGGTGTGCAAGAAGTGCGATGCAATCATGTCCGGTGTGAACGTTGTGTTTTCCTCTTGGAAAACAATCGCCACAATGTCGTTGCCGATGTGCCTCTTCCTCTGCAGTTGTTGTGGGTCGTTCTCCGTGTACGGCAGGAGGGTCGAAACGTGGAACATTATTTCGCGTTCCTTGAATACCTCGTAGACGGCCGTGTCGCCGGTGTGGCCGTTCTGGATATCGAGGCCGCCCCTGTATCTGAACAAAAAAATAATTGGTTGTTGAAATACGGTTGTCAATGGTTCTTGTGGTATGTTACCACCTAAAGACGATTATAATCGTCTGAATAATAATAAATAATATGAAAATAAACTTTATTTTCCTCTCTGACAAATGAATTTTGTATAGGAATCGTCAATTGCAAATATACAATTATCAAGATAAACTTAAACTAGAAATAGAACATCCACGATTGTGGATACTAACAATCAAAACTTCGTGAATTAACTTGGCTTGAAATCTTTTAATTTCAATTTCTTTTTTAATATTCAATTTTCAATAGTTGATTGAATTTTATTTTATTCATTTTATAGAGAGATTTTGGTATTGTGGGAGATGCATTGTTGTGGATAACTAGTTATTTGGATAATCAAAGACAGAAATTGAAACTGAATATCATCACATCTGATGTAGTTGATAGTTGCCGATGATGAATATTTGCTGAGAACCATTTGTTTAGATTTTCAAAAAAACATTTGATTTCCAGTATTGAATCCTCTCGATCATATACTATTTTTAATGTGTCATCCGCATACATCGTAACAGAAGTTGCAGAAGTTGAAGTGTCCAAGTCATTATTATATAATACAAACAATATAGGTCCCAGTGCCGATCCTTGAGGAACTCAGCAACATACTGTTTTCTACAAGACAGATATTCTGCTACACAGTTCACAGGAACGCCTCGAATACCATAACGAGAAAGTTTATTTAAGACAATGTTATGGAGAATGTCATGTTGATTTTTAGAGGTGTTACTCTGGATGATTCTGAGAAGAATATCATCATATTTCATATCTTGAAAGGCTTCCTTTATAATACAAAAGGGGCTTGAAATTTTTATACTTTTTAGAATTTCATTTTACGCCCAATAGGTATATGTCTGAAGCTATCAAGTTCAAACTTGGCACACAAATTTCTGCATGCCGGAATGACGTCATCCTCTTTTCCAGCGAAAATTGAAAATATCTCAGGTATGTTTAATTTAATCAGGTAAGCGGTGCAGGTATATGATACATTGAAAATAATTTTCACAGAAAGTATTGAAATTTGAAATAAAAATTAAAGATGAAAACAAACGTTAAATTAAAAAAAAATATTTATGCGAGAGTTCCATATTGTTGTTACTGACGGTATAAATAAATATAAGCATAAAAAACTTTTGAGATTGTTTTTTATCAAATAATATACTACAACATGGAATACTTTCACTTTTCAACCAACTAAATTACGTATGCCTAGGAAACAGCTACTTGAAAATGATTCATTACTCCGCTGCTCAAGGGAATAGGCTATGAATCAAAACTCATAGCTTTTCAAAGATAATTTAATCTGCTCTTCAAATTCCGAATTCTTTTATCCAGTTTATAGAACTTATAGAAAATATCGTTTCTCTATATTTTCTTATTACATTGCTGTAGAACAAAGGTAAGCTCTATAATTACACCCGATGGGCCTTCTGTGAGATGGAAAGATATGAGCGACTGTAGAAGCAGCCCGATAGATTATCTCAGGCTCATGGTTATTGCTGAAAGATCTCAGTTTGATATTGTCCTCGGGCTTTTTTCGGATTGACCCATGTATCAGCACATAATTTATTGATTTTATCTTTTCAAGAAGCATTACATTACACATATCTGTTTCTTCACTATCAGTTGGATGCTTTGAAACCGTCTGGTGGGAATAATTCGAAAGTAGATAGCATATTTTTCAAAATTCGATGGTGTGAAAGACGAATTTAACTTTTTACAGATATGAATTGTTTGATTCTGGAGATATATCTTCGTGATAGGTACTTTCATACAATACAAAAATATCAAATGAAGGTAAATCAAAGAAGAACCGTTAAGAATCTGCAGTCAGTCTCCTTCAGAAGCCAATATATACATACAAAAGAAAAGAAAAATAAACTATTCAAATGAAACTATTCTAATAAAATATTTTGTTCTCCACCCATGATTGATAAGAAGAATTTCCTAATCATAATCAAATGGTACAGGCAAACTATTGTTGACTAAATAAGACTCGTTTATACCTAAATTCAAATGCATCATACGACAACGAAAAGTTAGTTTTTGAAATAAGCATTTTTAAATGGTGACAATATGAGGCTAACAATCATAGAAGTTGACGCCACTGACACCAAAAAAATTCGAAATATTAAGTACATGAATATATTATAAAATTATTGACATATTGCACATGTTGTCAATCAAAGTTTTTGGACCTTTTTCCAATAGATTCGTTTATTGAAGTGATAACTTCTTATGGGTGGGTAAACCGCTTGGTAACATAACGCGTAACGGCGCCAGTATGTCTGGTTTCCCTTTCTTCTCAACCTAAGTCTGCGGGTACGAAAATCGCGAAGGAAAAATATCTCGCGTGGGCACGAAACTTCGGTCGGTCAGTCGTGCTGGAATAGTGTTGTGATCAATATGTCACGTCATCGTAACACAAGTTTACGCCGAACTATTGGAGCCAAGTCTACTAATAAGAACAGAGTTATTGTTACCTAGATATGGAGATGATATCATCAGCAATATCATTTATGAATGGAAGATATGCCAAAGTTTGATAACTTTTTCAGCAACTGTTGATGTTGCACGCGATCAACCTCTAGGGATCACCTACGTTGTCTAACATGCTTACTGTCAGATTACTGACGGTGTCATCTGAATCATCATATGAAGAGACTGTCGAAAGATGATGAAACAGCAGAGCATATACTTTGAATATGCCCCGTCACATCAGGTTCTCAGAGTGTCTCTCTTGCCAGCTGACCTAAAAGATCACTCACCAAATAAGTTAATATGTGACCGATGTGACCGATAATGAGCCTTGCAGTTCGGAGGGTCGAATAAACTATGGGTATGGACTACCTACCTACATAACTATATAGTAACTTGCTTCATGGACAGAAAATATCAAGACATCACTACCAATTTCGTTGGATCCTCAAGTTATTTCAATCACGCAACCGTTGTAAAACAAGCATGAGAACCAACCTACCCTTTGTGATCCTTGAGCTGTATCCTCTGCCCCAGCAGCGATAGAAAATCGTCAAAAGCCGGCGTGGTGACGTTATTGCAGAACAATTCCTCCTCGTCCATCTGTCCGAATCGCTGATAGAGGACGCCGAACTTGAAATCCTTGACCAGAACGTGTTCGTCGTATTCGGTGATGAGCTGGGAGGCTTGGGGATGAAGGACAGGTACGAAGTTTTTGACGTTGAGTTGTTCGTTGAGGATGCACGCCATCTTGGCGGGCGAGGGACTGGGATCCAGGCACGAGGAGGGTACGATCTCGTGCATAGTGCCTGTGCAAAGCCGGAGCAGGATGCGGGTGTGTTCTTGGTTGGCGACGTTCTCCGTTTTGATGGAGAGCAGCACGGGACCCAGTTGATCGTCTTGGCCGATGAGGGTCGAGTGTTCCTGAAACAATTGAAATAATAAGAATAATAATAATAATAACTATTTATTTTCCCAAGAAACATACAATGTTTATAGCACAAAAAAAAAAACAATTAAAAAAATAACTATAACATAACAAAGTACGAATAGAGCACAAAAAAAATAAATAAGAACTAAAATTTGAAAAAGCATAATATATTTATATACACACATATACACATATATACACATACATAGACCTATATACACATACACATATATACATACATACATGTTTAAATATGATTATCAACATAAACATAAATGCACTTATCGGATAATATATCTGTACAAACAGTAAATAGTTTTTCAAATCAATCCGGAATTTTTGTTTATTATTTTTTTTAAGCATTCGGTATTTGTTTTCATCGGAGAATACTGAGGATGTATAAACCTCTAGCCACTCACGCCAGCGAAACGCCGGGAAGACATTCCAAAAATCGACGGCCTTCAAAACCTAAAAATAGTGACATTAAAAATCTCGGACGCGGAAGCCTCAACCATTTTATCGCAATAAATAATATTGAAAACACAAAGCAGGGCTCAATTCGCTTAACCAATAATTCTCTGTTACTGTACGTTAGTTTAATATTCGATATATATTTCTTCGGCACACGCATGATGATTCACGTGTTTTTCTCTAGTTTCAGTGCGAAGTCCAGGTAATATCCTAGATTTTTTGAGACATTTGTCAGGTTTAGTAACACACCCCCTACTTTCATTCTCACCAAATCCAAATATTTTTTAGTAGTAGTCGGCCAATGCCTAGTAATTTATCAGGGTTAATTGCAAAGCAGTATTTTTTGATATTTATGCCAATGATGAAGTCATAAAATAAGTTTTGATACTAGGTGTTTGCATGAAATATGAAGTAATAGTGATTATACCATTATGTTTTTATTTCTACAGTACAATTCTTCTCCCCAAAGTTTTTGCAAATATTCTATATTGTTGTTGTTGTTTTGGGATAATTCAGGTGCATTTTTATCCGCTAGATATGACTCTTCATGATCTACGTGTACCATTGCGGAGAATGAATTTATGAAAGGCTTTTTTCTCACGTTAAATAACGAAATTTCTGTCCTCAGCTTTCGCACTGACCTCTACCGAAACGTGACAGCAAAATGACACGAAGGAACGCATATGACACGTTGCCGAACCGTTTCCAAGATAAGAAACAAATGAACGAACGTGCCCGAAACCCTAAAACGCTTACTTTATGACGGACACACAATAGGCTAGGCCGGAGCACATTTTTTTTCGAAACTTTCTCGCCCACTCCCCCGCCTTGTAACCGTCCTTATTTTCGAATCGTTATTATATTCCTTCTCCTGTCTATTGTTGTTAGAACATAATGGACCAAAGGAGGTCACCGTATGTTTGCAGTACGGAGGTTCTTTGCCTCATTCACTATTCAGTTTCGTTAGATCTCCTCCTTCTCGAGGCATTCTTATTCACGTCACGATGTGCACTCGTATACGGGGTGGAAGTTGTGTCGTGGAAGGAACTACTCGTCCCACGGACTTGTAGTTGATAAATAACAAGTATTGTAGGTGGAATTTAGAATCAATAAGGCAAATTATACTTCGTCCTTATACTATATGGGCTGAAAAGTTTCGGGCCTAACGCTCAGATGGCGCTGGTCTAATTGAATTCACCGCTTTTTCAGTTAGTACTAACCTTCAAAAGAAAGCTGCTGAAATTTCATGATTCTCTACTCATAAGTTTGTGAGTTATTCTGTTAAGATTTAAATTTTACACTGCTTCTTGATATAAAAAAAAATACCTTTCAAGCGAAGCAATGGCTTGGAACGTGCTACATGGATCAAACGTTGGTTTGCTGACTTTAAACGTGGTCGTAGAGACACCGATGATGTAGAACGCAGTGGACGTCCAAATGAGGCAGTAACACCAGTAAAATCCACAAAATCGTTTTGAATGATCGAAAAGTGAAGTTGCGTGAGTTAGCTGACATTGTAAAGGTATCAAAAGAACATGTTTGCTTTATAATGAGTGATTTTTTTGCTGGTATCTTTTTGGCAACACTGTTTTTGACAGATCACGCGTGAATCGTGTCTTGTGTCATTGTGAAACTTGTTCAGTTTAGTTTATAATTTAACCATAAATCGAATTTCGAATGAACAACACTTGCAAATTATTGAATTTCATTATCTCTCGGTGAAGAAAGTGCATAGTGCACTTCTTCCAATTTATGGGCAGTTTTGTCGGCCTACTGAGAGAGATATTCGGAAGCTTGTGACTAAATTTTGAACCCAGTTTACATTATTGGACATTAAACCACCAACACGCATACATAGAGTGAGGACCGAAGAAAATATTGCGGCTGTATCCGCCAGTGTTCGTGATGACCGTGAAATGTCGATTCACCGCGGTTCGCAGCAATTGGGCCTCTGTTACTACACTACGTGGAAAATTTTGCGAAAGGATTTGGGTGTTGAACCTTATAAGTTACAGTTGGTGCAAGAATTGAAGTCGCACGACTTCCCACAATGTCTAACATTTGGTGAATGGGCGCTGGCAAAGTTGGAGGAAGATCCACATTTATATCGAAAAATTGTGTTCAGAGACGAGGCTCATTTCTGGTTGAATGGATACGTTAACAAGCAAAATTGCCGCATCTAGAGTGAAGACCAACCACAAGCATTGCAAGAGCTTGCATCCCGAAAAAGTCACTGTTTGGTGTGTATTGGGGAAAGATGATGGCCTTGATATTTTGGGTTGTTTTTGTTGTGTAATATTCATCGACTATTTCAGGAAGGGAAATACCATCAACAGTGAATATTATATAGTGTTATTGGATCGTTTGAAGGCCGAAATTGCAGAGAAACGACCGCATATGGCAAAGAAAAACAATTCGTTTCATTAAGACAACGTACAATGTTACAAGTCAATCAAAACAATGTATGAATTGAACTTTGAATTGGTCCCACATCCATCGTATTTGCCAGATTTGGCTCCTACCGATTACTGGCTGTTCGGAGACCGGTGAGAGATTTCCCTCGAATGAAGAGTTTACTGCTAAAACTGAGGCCTATTTTGAGGCAAAAAATAAATCTTTCTACGCATTTTTTTTCTTAGGCCCAGGACTTTTCAGCCTATGTGTTAGTAAATGAATCGAAAAGTTTTCATATAAAAGTGTATAATTACAAATTCTTATTGCAAAGCGCGTTCGACTTTCGCCATCATCAGTGCTCACCTGAAAAAAAGAGATCCAATTGGAAAGAAAGTTTTTTGTGAAATTATTGTTTTTTAAATTTTGAGGTTATAAATTTAGGAAAAATTATTGATGATTATTACATTTGTAAGATTTGATTTATATAAACTAATCAGCTTAATAACCAACGAAATACATGCTAGGGATTGAGGCCATGTGGTTCGGTCAAAGTATGATATGAATGAAGGGTAACTTGCGACAGAATGTGTCAAGTGTCATGTTTAAAACAGTGGTACCAACTTGAGAAGTGATCCACTTTGGATTTATTTTTTTTTGTTGTGAAGCCAATATAGAATTATATATTTCAATAATAATTTTTTTTTCAATTACAATTCATAATCCTTTTATTTAGAGGAAGGAAATCTCTGTATACTTTTACTTGAGTATTCAAGCAGTGATCATTGTTAGAAAGTTCTTTGGAAATCTCCAGCTTTTCAAACAAATCCAGTCTGAGGAAATTTTCATTGTCAATTTTATGTAAAATTTTGGAATTTCTATTGGGGCTAAAGTTATGGTTGTGAAATTTAATATGGTTGCCAAATGCAGATTTTTCAGGGTTTTTTAGATGTTCATTAATACGAGTGATGAGAGGTCTACAAGTTCTACCAATGTAAGATGCAGAACAATCAGAGCAGTCAAGCTTATAGACTCCACTTCTATGTAACCTGCTAATTTTGTCTTTGGAATTTACTAGAAAGTTGTTTGAGTTATTGTGAGATTTAAATGAAATTTTTGTACTACAGTATTTTCTATATTCACTGAGGATACACTACAAAAACACACAAAAACTAGTCACAATAAAGAAATAGCGTGGAAAATAGACAAAAGTGTGTTTTTGTAGTGTATCCTCAGTGAACATGAATTTCCACAAAATAAACAAGTCGTCAATCAAAGAAGTATTTTCTATGAATTTGGAAAAAACAGTACACATCTGTATCTGTAGAGTTGGAAGGGTGAATGTAGGCCCACAGCACTTAGGCCACTTGTGACCTATCGTACATCCTAGGTCATCGTCCATCCTGTCCTTTCCAAGAAGGTGGACAGGTCTCTGGGAGACATCTCCTTTATATCGGTAGGTGTAGGTCAAAACTCGCCGAACACACACTCTCTTATTGACGATAACTCTGGACCCTCAATTAGAACATGCCTGACTGTTTCATCTTCCTGTTCACACATCCTGTATAGAGGTGTGTCCACTAGCCCCATATTATGGAGGTGTTTCCTTAGTTGACATTGGCCAGTCAGAAATCCTACTGTTGAGCGTATATTTTTCCCGGTCTTCGCCAGATATTTCTTCGGCGCCAGCTTCCAAGGGTCGCCCAGGGTGATCCTGGCAAGATTGCATCCTTTGATTTCATCCCATCTCTTCAGGGATTGAGCATAGGTGTAACGTTTGTCTAGTTCCGCAATCGTAGAAGTAATCAGGCCGTAGGTGCCTCTGATAACAGTACACACATTTTGATCGAAGTAAAGAAAAATATTTCACAGAAGGTGAACTAACCAAAGTGGTTGAGTTGAAGGTCATGTGTTAGTGGTTGATAAATAACATCGCAACAAAACGCAGGCCCCTTTCATGTTTAATATTGAGTTCTTCAGACGATCCCAGTTTCTCACCCGTTATCGTGTTATATGGTGATTTATTGAAATCATCTCCGCAGTGAATTCCTACCCATGCACCGGCCACAGTTTCAACCGACAATTTCCTAGAGTATAATCAACGATTCATTAGCATACGGGGTACGGCCTC